AGCGGCCTTAAGCTCATCCAGAGTGTTGGGTCTTGCGTCTCTCAACTTTCTCTTCACAATATCCAACAGGTTCTCTATGGGGTTCAGGTCAGGAGAGTTGGCAGGCCAATTGAACACAGTAATACCATGGTCAGTAAACCATTTACCAGTGGTTTTGGCACTGTGAGCAGGTGCCAGGTCGTGCTGAAAAATGAAATCTTCATCTCCATAAAGCTTTTCAGCAGATGGAAGCATGAAGTGCTCCAAAATCTCCTGATAGCTAGCTGCATTGACCCTGCGCTTGATAAAACACAGTGGACCAACACCAGCAGATGACATGACACCCCAGTGACTGTGGAAACTTGACACTGGACCTCAAGCAATGTGAATTCTGTGTCTCCTCTCTTCCTCCAGACTCTGGGACCTTGATTTCCAAAGGAAATGCAAAATTTACTGTAATCAGAGAACATAACTTTGGACCACTCAGCAGCAGTCCCAGGCAAAATGCTTCTGACGCAGTCTCTTGTTCAAAAGTGGCTTGACCTGGGGAATGCGGCACCTGTAGCCCATTTCCTGCACACGCCTGTGCACGGTGGCTCTGGATGTTTCTACTCCAGACTCAGTCCACTGCTTCCGCAGGTCCCCCAAGGTCTGGAATCGGCCCTTCTCCACTATCCTCCTCAGGGTCCGGTCACCTCTTCTCGTTGTGCAGCGTTTTCTGCCACACTTTTCCCTTCCCACAGACTTCCCACTGAGGTGCCTTCATACAGCACTCTGGGAACAGCCTATTGGTTCAGCAATTTCTTTCTGTGTCTTACCCTCTTGCTTGAGGGTGTCAATGATGTCCTTCTGGACAGCAGTCAGGTCGGCAGTCTTACCCATGATTGAGGTTTTTAGTAATGAACAAGGCTGGGAGTTTTTAAAAGCCTCAGGAATCTTTTGCAGGTGTTTAGAGTTACGTCGTTGATTCAGATGGTTAGGTTAATAGTTGTTTAGAGAACCTTTTCATGATATGCTCATTTTTTGGGACAGGCATTTTGGGTTTTCATGAGCTGTATGCCATAATCATCAGTTTTAGAACAATTAAAGACCTGAAATATTTCAATTGGTGTGCAATGAATCTGAAATATATGAAAGTTTCATTTTTATCATTACATTATGGAAAATAATGACCTTCATCACAATATGCTAATTTTTGGAGAAGGACCTGTACACCCGTCAATACACCGAAGATGGGAGCTCATAACACGTCCTAGCGTCCGTGGATGGTACAAGGACGCATGAAGTGGCCTAGTAAAACGGGCAAACGAAATTTATGGCACTTATTAACTGTCCCTATGTGTGACTGTGCTTTTGACTTACATGTATAATATTAACACTGCAAAGAAAGGCACACAAATACAACAACAATATAAACCTTAGCTGCTTAAAACCGCAGAAAGTCCACGGTAAATATTAGCCCATCGAAAGTAAACACCATCCACAGTCACGCTAAAAATTTAGCATAACCAATGGCAGAAATTTTCGGATAAAGAGGAGTTCTGCTCACCTGAATGAGAAGGCGCCTGGTTGAGACTGCAAATGGTGCCGACCAGCCGATGGAGGAAGCTCACAATTGCCCCCACCCCGTTCCTGCTTCAAGACCCTCAGCATCGGGGTCACCAAATTGTAAGCGTTATTCAAAAGTCTGAAGTAGGCTCTGAAACAAATGTGTACAGTATTATTGCAGGTTTATTGTACAGATAAGTGGAAATCACAAACTCACATGACGTCTGCCCATTTCACCTCAACACCCGCTTCGTTAACAGATCTCATCACATTTTTCTTCAGAAACTGGTCTCACCCCTGGTGTCATCATCTCCGGTCATAGGACAGCCTACTCTTACCACGTGACCAGCCTCTCAGCCAATAATACTTCCATCGTTGATGTAAACAACCAAGTGTCATGCTTGTTGTAGAGTGCGGGCGTGTAACTAAAATTCCTTCCAGAAACAAAAACCCGGAAATACATATTCTTCATCGGTTTAATGTGCATCTGTAGGTGTACACAACTTTCAATAACATAACAAAATATAATACTGATAGAAATATATTTCAGAACCCTTTTGCACCAATACTTTAGCTAGTATTTGTAGCTGATTTGAGGCTGATTCAGGACCTCTTTTCATCCTTGCTTCTCTGGTGTGACCGTTGGAGCTGTCAAGCTGACTCCAGACTGAAACATGAATGCAGGTCACTGATTGGTCAGGGGGAGGAGCTACTGGATCTCAGAAAATTTTCACCGATCTGCCATTTGCAATTTCTTGGGACACGGAGCGGCAGCTGGATCTATTTTTAAGATTTTAAAAACAATAATGACAACACCGTGCTTAATGCTGAAGTCCAGGTGTTTTTTGTGTTTGTTGACCGACGACAAAATTCGAGCGAGTGGTGTCACTGCGGAGGATCATACGAGCTGCTGACCCGTTGAAGCATGCGAGGCTGTACCACGAGCCCCGGCCTCGTGTGCTCACAAAGGCCAAATTCCGAGCCCCGGCAGGCGGGAGGACCGGGACGATGGGTGGAAACGTTTTTTTTTTAATATTTTATGTATAAAAAAAATTGTTGTTTTATTTTATCAGTAAGATAAAAAATAAACCGTACCGGCTTTATCATGAAATCCTGTTTTCACTTTGACTTTATTAAATAATCTGTTAATAAAGTTAACTCAGCTGAAAAATCATAAAAAGACAGCATTATTGGATCTCTCAGGAATATCCTGATGCATGCTCAATAATCCAGGTAGAAAAATCTAAAAAAGTTAAATCTGGTCCTCTGGACATTCAAAAAACAAAACAACCCCCCCCCCCCCACACACACACACACACACACACACACAAATTGTAGAAACATTTCGTCTTTCATCTGAAGGACTTCCTCAGTCTGAGGTGCTGTATTCAGCTCAGTCTCTTAAATAGCACCTTCTCAGAGTGGATCAACCAGTTTGCTGCTGACAACCAGAACCAGCTGATCACATGCTCAAGAAGGACCATCAGCCTAACAATGGATCATTAGCACCTGATGGCTGTTTACTGTTCACAGAGGGCTGAGTGATACTAGCAATCACAGCATTGTAAGAGGGGGACAGTTGAACCCGGAGGCTCCACCCCTGTTTAATGATGGACAAATGATGGCTGAATACAGCACCTCAGATTGAGGAAGTCTTTCGGATGAAAGATGAAATGTTTCTGCATTTTTGTTGTTGTTGTTGTTGTTTTGCTTTGTTTTGTTTATTGAATGTCCAGAGGACCAGATTTAACTTTTTTAGATCTGTCAGGAATATGTCCCTCAAACATGTTTAAAGAAGAGATACGGCCTTTGGTTCAACTTTATTCTAACCCACAGATGTACAAATCACTAAACAAGAATTGCACTTTAAATTAAAGCTTTAAATAATCTGTATACAAGAAAAAATAATCTGTATTCAAGAAACAAAACTACAATGAGTGCAACTACATCAAATGATGAAGAAAAATATAGCATTTTAAATATAGATGTTTTTGTAGAATCTGGTTCATCAGATTTAAATCAATTCAGTTTGTTTATAAAGCACCAAGTCACAACAGAAGTCGTCTCAGGAACTGAACAGAAACATTTATATATAAAAATAATAATTTAACATTATTTATCTGAGGAGCAGACTGCTTTGAGTTTAACTCATCGCAGAACTCTCATTAGCAGGATTTTGGATTCTGGATACTCCTTCAGAATGGGTCCTAAAGTGTGGTGCAAATCCAGGCTGAGCTGAGCAGAGTTGGGGCTGATTAGGAGCAGTGCAAATAAGCCATATGTGTCCCTGTGATGGACTGGAGACCTGTCCAGGGTGTCCCCCTCCTCTCGCACAGAGATAGCTGGATATGGCCGCCAGTGACCCCCACGACCCAAAAAGGAAGAAACGGGTAAAGATAATGGATATATGGATGTCAAAATGCAAGGTGGCTGCCACCAAAAACATTTGTTTTGTATCTGCTAAGGTCAAGCAGTGGTAATCATCTTGAATCATGTGTTGACGTACATTCACTAGTTTATTTTTGAGAGTTTCCATATCATTTGTCTAGTAGTTTTTGAACCACTGCATCAGAATCAGGTTGGGGAATGATCCTTGAGGGAAAAACTTAAATGATTTACAGTAAATCCAGAGGAATGGATCATTGCTCTTCACTGTTTACACAAAACCCTGGTGTTCAAAATAAAACTTAACAATATGATCCAACAAAAAAGGTTGAATCATGTCATCTGGACTTCGTTTTTTTGTTAAAAAGAAACGTTTCGCCCCTCGTCCAAGAGGCTTCGTCAGTCTGAGGCCTAGCCATCTGGTATTACCCAGAAGCCACCCTGACTCTTGTGTTTCAAGCCTGCCTCAGATACCCCTGAGGTCTGGCCTTTTCACTAATGGTTTCAAAAACACAAAGTTTGTGACACACAACACAAAACTGATTCTTCCCCCTGTGTGTTTCCTTGTCTGATGAAGCCGGATGGAAGGTGAAACGTTTCAGCAAAAAAAAAAAAGGAGAAAAAAGAAACTGTCCAGATGACCTGACTGAAAAATGTCGGATTGTATACCTGGATTACTGAGCATGGACCTTTTGTTTTTAACAATATGATATTAATCCAACAAAGTTCAGTCAGGTCATTCATTCATTCAGCCTTTATTTGGACAGGTTAATCCCAATGAGCATTTAGGACTCATTTACAAGAGAGACCTGATTTCTTAAAAAAGACTGATGTCATCTGGATGGTTTCTTTTTTTTTTTTTTTGAGACATTTTGTCCTTCATCCAAAGGACTTTATCAGTCCGAGGAGCCACAACAAACTCAGCCCCACAAGTAGCACAAGCAAGAAAAATATGGTCTTAACTTTAAAACTTGGGTATGCATTTACTGTTTTATTAATGCAGACTTAAATTAGATTAGTAGTTTAAGCTAATCTCTTCATCCTCCTGATGTTTAAAGGTTAAAGAGAGTTTTTGTTATTTCTTCTAGATTCCAGGTTTTTGTGAGGATGGGGCTGGCTCCTCTGTTCCAGGCCTTCAGGCTTCTCTGAACTGTGAGATGTTTGTGGGTTACAAAGCAGTGTATCGCTTCTGCTTTGGCATGAGTATGTGGTTCCTGCTGTTTTCAATCCTGCTGATTAACATCAAAAGCAGCAAAGACCGCCGTGCTTCTATCCACAACAGGTAAGGACTGCAGTCGCACCAGGAACATGTATAACCTGATAACAAACCCTCAGTTTTTAACAGTATGGAACGTAAACAGTAGGAGTACGGGCTTTTCCTGGTCAGTGATACCTAAAGCATTTAGGCAGAATGGAACCTGCTGAAACGAAGCTGCAACATTTCTTAACACTGGAAAACACCAAAGAAGAACATGTCTTTGTGTTGTCCTTTTCGGGCTTCAGTATAAACACAAAATGGCCATAACATTTTTCCCTGAAAATCTAGCTAGTATTATTTGGTTCAAAGTTAATTTTATTGCAGCCTGTTATAATTGTTTCAAAAAAAAAAAATTCCCTAAATAATCAACTCTTGGTACCCCATAATGATAGTGAAAACTTCATACAATACAAATCTTTTACATAGTCCCCAGTTGAAACACATTTGGCAGCAGCTTGAAGGGATATGAAACAAGTTTGCACACCTGGAATGAAGGATTTTCTGCCGTTCTTCTTTAAGGGCCTGACATACATTCGTGTTCACACACACCTTTCAAAATCTACAGATACAGAGCTCTTGGGAAACCCCTCCCACTGCTGTATACATCACCACATAGGTTTCTTCCCACCAGAGTCGCCACGCCATCCATTTATCTTCTGTTGGGCCACAAATCTATAACAAGCGCTTTTCAGAGGACAGACTCCTCCATACACAATGTCTGAACAAGCTCCATCCAGTTTTTCAAAATCTGACTAATTTAATCTAAAAAAGTTAAATCTGGTCTTCTGGACATTCAAAAAACAAAACAAAGCAAAAAAATTTAATGTGTTTTAAGAGTTGTACAGCTGAATGTCCCAGTGCATTTCCACACTGACGAACATGCCCATAAACTTATTCTTTTTATTTTTTATGGAGGTTGGCAAGCAATGTTGAGATGTGCATTACTGCCATCTACTGGAATGGAGTGTCGATTGAGATGCTAAAAATATATTACCGTAATTTCTGGACTACAAAACGCACATGTGTATAAGCCACACATATTAAATATAAGATAAATCATAATTTTGTACATAAATATGACACCCTGGCTGTTAAGCCGCAGGTATTCACTGTGCAATGAATGTAAGTGCCCAGCTCTATCTGTGCTGTACTTGTTGTAGTACAAAAAGCAGCCATTTGATGGCATAATGGATGGATGGAATAAAAATCCATCCATCCATTATCTTTACCCGTTTATTCCATTTTGGGTCACGGGGGTCGCTGGTGCCCATGTCCAGCCATCACTGTGCGAGGGGCGGGGTACACCCTGGACGGGTCTCCAGTCCATCACAGGGACACATAGAGACAAACGAGACAAACAACCATTCACTCTCTCACTCACACCTAGGGACAATTTAGAGTCACCAATCAGCCTAACATGCATGTTTTTGGTCTGTGGGAGGAAACCGGAGTACCCGGAGAAAACCCACGCATGCACGAGATAACATGCAAACTCCACCCAGAAGGCACCTGCACCGGGGTTTGAACCAGGGACCTGTTCGCTGAGAGGCAGCAGCTCTACCAGTTGTGCCACCGTGCTGCCCCTGGAATAAAAATATGAAACCAAAAACAATTAGAAACAATGAAATACTAAATAAGATCACGTTGTGTCAAAAGTCAAGGAAATAATAACAAAAAGCATAAACTCAGTCAGAAACAATGAAATACTAAATCAGATCTGATGACCTTGTGTTAAATAGGAATAATAACAAAAGCATAAACAGAATCAGTATCAATGAAAAACTAGATCTAAACCCAATCACCCTGTGTTAAATGCCAATGAGTACAGATGTGTCAGTGAGTACAGATGTGTCAGTGAGTACAGATGTGTTTTTAGGAGAGATTTAAAAGCAGAGACTGAGGTGGCCTGTCGAATGCTGATGGGCAGATTGTTCCAGAGTTTAGGGCCCACAACTGAAAATGTTCGATCTCCTCTGAGCTTCAGCTGGTTTTTGGTACGGCCAAAAGCAGCTGGTCTGATGATCTCAAAGCCCGAGAAGGAGTATAAGGATGAAGGAGGTCGGAGAGGTATGAGGGTGCAAGGCCGTTAATGCACTTGAATGTCAGCAGGAGAATTTTAAAATCAACTCTGACACGTACAGGAAGCCTGTGAAGGGAGGACAGAACCGGAGTAATGTGCTCAAACCTGCGAGTTCCTGTTAGTAGCCGAGCTGCAGCATTTTGGACGAGCTGGAGACGTGAAAGTGAAGCCTGACTGACCCCAACATAAAGTGAGTTACAGTAGTCCAGCCGGGTTGTAATAAATGCAAGGACTAGTTTTTCAAGGTCAGATCTGGACAGAACAGACTTAAGCTTTGCTATTTGCCCTAACTGAAAGAAGCTTTTTTGTAGAACAGAGTTGATCTGTTTATTAAACTTAAAGTCAGAGTCTAACACTACCCCGAGATTGGTAACCGACTGCTTTAGATGTGGCTGAAGGGAGTGCAGGTTTACAGGATCAGTGACAGTGGTAGAGCTTGGGTTAAACACAATGACCTCAGTCTTCTGATCATTAAAACTCAAGAAGTTTGCAGCCATCCAAGTCTTGATGTCATCAAAACATTTTAGCAAAGGGTGGATGGAGCAGGAACTGTTTGGTTTTAAAGGCAGATAGATCTGAAAATCATCGGCGTAACAGTGAAACGAAATACCATGTTTCCTCAGGATTGACCCCAAGGGGAGCAGATCCAATGAGAAAAGAAGGGGTGAAAGAATGGAGCCTTGTGGGACCCCACAGGAAAGAAGGACAGAAGCAGAAAAATGATTGTCAAAGTTAACACTGAAACTCCTGTCACCCAGATACGAACGGAACCATTCTAGCGCCACCCCTGTAATCCCAACCCAGTGTTCTAGCCGAGACATAAGGATGCTGTGATCAACAGTGTCTAATGCAGCGGTAAGGTCGAGGAGTACCAGGATCACAGACTGATCAGAGTCATTTGCTAGCAGAATGTCATTACAGACCCTTACTAAAGCTGTCTCAGTGCTGTGCAGTTGTTTAAATCCTGACTGAAAAATCTCAAAAATTCCATTTACATTCAAAAACTTGGTTAGTTGACTAAAAACTATTTTCTCCAAGATTTTAGAAAGAAATGGAAGTTTTGAGATTGGCCTGAAGTTAGAACAAGCTGCAGGGTCAAGTCCGGGTTTTTTAATTAATGGAGTTACCACTGCATGTTTTAAAACATCAGGGACCACACCTGTAGCCAAACTGCTGTTAATAATGGCAAGAACAGAGGGTCCAGTTGACGGTAGAACCTGTTTAAAAAATGCAGCAGGGATGGGATCAGCAGGGATGGGATCAGCAGGGGAGCCTGAGGGTTTCATGTGACCAACGACCTCATTTAAAAATGAGAGTGAGATGGGGTCAAAGTGACTGAAGACTGCTGAGCAGGGGCCAAGAACTGAAGGGTCGGCTGTGGAGTGTGGAATGATGACCTAATCGACTCAACCTTTTCAACAAAATGCCTGACAAACTTATTACAGGTGTCGACAGAGGCCTCAATGGTGGCAGACTGAGGCACGTTTAGAATGGTGTTAATGGTGTTGAAAAGAACGCGGGGGTTGTGACTGTTTGAGTTGATAATTTTTGAGAAATATTTGTTTTTCTCCTGTTTAACAGTGGTCTGATAGGCTTTCCTACATGATTTTAATATATCAAGGGAAACCTGGAGTTTATCTTTTTTCCATCCACGTTCAGCTCTCCTGCACAAGTGTCTTGCCTCTCTTGTGGTCTCATTTACCCAAGGGTGGGGCGTGCGTTTTCGATTCCTGAGCTTTAACGGGGCAACTGAGTCCAGGATCTGTACACACGCCTCTTGATGCTGAGAAAGCAACACCTCTGTAGTAAGACCCGCAGAGAGTTCAGAGTCTGAAACAGCTTACTTCAAAGTGATGGTCTCTTTGTCACGCCCCCTCCTCCATTGCTGGCCATCTTCCTTGTTGACAGTCATGTGCAACTGGTTGAAAACAACAAAGTCCATGCTCAATAATCCAGGTATACAATCTAACATTTTTCAGTCAGGTCATCTGGACAGTTCCTTGTTTTGTGCTGAAACGTTTCACCTTCGATCCGGAAGGCTTCATTAGTCAAGGAAACACACAACACAAAACTGATTCTTCCACCAGCAGCTTACTCCAAAGTGGAACAAACCACTTATGTTGGTGCTAAGATAGTCTCTTTGTCACGCCCCCTCCTCGATTGCCGGCCATCGTCCTTGTTGACAGTCGTGTCAAATTGGTAGAAAACATCAAAGTCCATGCTCAATAATCCAGGTATACAATCCAACATTTTTCAGTCAGGTCATCTGGACAGTTTCTATTTTTGTGCGGAAACGTTTCGCATTCGATCCGGAAGGCTTCATCAGTCAAGGAAACAAACAACACAAAACTGATTCTTCCCCCAACAGCTTACTCCAAAGTGGAACAAACCAGTTATGTTGGTGCTAAGTTGGTCTCTTTGGAACTAGGGATGCACCGATCCACTTTTTAAAATTCCGATCCGATCCTGATACCTTGAACTGAGTATCGGCCGATACTGTTCCAATTCCAATATCATGATCATCATTGATTTTATATGAGGCTGTAATAATCTCCTCTCAAGTACAATTTGTACAAATATATGCATGCATGTCCAAAAAGGCAACTTGAGCTAAGTTTTATTAATGTTGGATATGTTTTAAAGTTAGAATTAAATTCTGCTAACACAAAACATGTTTCTTTTTATTCCTAGCTTTAAAGTGGATATTAAAGTGATTAATTTAAGTGATTGTTTAAAGTTGTTTTAAATTTTATAAGGGGCAGATATAAGAATTTTTTCTTCTTTCTGAACTCTTTTCATTCAATGTTTTCTTTTTGATGATTTTTTAATTTATTTTGTTTCATTTAAATGAATGAATAAATGAATTAAATTAAATAAAATATTAAATGTCTTCAAACATCTGCTAAGTTCATGGCATAAACCAACAGACATGTTCCTGTTTTTA